TATATATATATATATATATATATATATATATATATATATATGGTTAATGTGTAAAACAAAAAAATTGTAATAACTGTAGCGAAGACATTTCTCAGCACCTTGGTCCCTGACGCGGAATAAAAAGGAAGCAGGTCAATAAAACCTCAACATACAGTGAAATTCTCGACAGTTTCAGAATTGCTTTAGAATAGGTCAGAATCTTTCTAAGAACTTCGAAAAGGCCACCTGTCAAGTGTCGTCTCAATCCTACATGTCTAAGGCAGCGTAAACAAAGAAACAATTTCGGATCAGCCTCTAACACCTTGAAACGGACACCGTAATTAGAGCTATATTCTCGATGTGTCAAACAACTTTGGGACCACTACCATTGGATCCGGCACAGTCAAAAACCCTTATGGGTCAAGTTTGGACTTAATCGGGTATTTCAGAACAAGGTTATGGGTAAAAGACCAAAAAGGTATAGACCGCACGCTATTCTCGTGTGGCCTCCTTACACCAATCTCCATTAAACGAGGCTTATGTGTATCGTCCCAAACAGCGACTTCAAAGGCCCGTATCTCACTCGTCTTGAGTCGGATCGCTCTCAAAATTGGTGAGCGTGTTCGTCTCATTAAGACGAGCGTTTGATATATGGCACGACCCGTGACGATACCCTAGCAGGGAGAAAAACTAGAGAGAAGTTGCCCATCTATGAAAAAAGTTGTAGAAAATTCAGTAGCAGCACGCCTCACGCGAACGACCAAATCATGACACTCGCGTACTCAATCGACACAAACCAATTGCATTATGTTCTTAAGGTTCGAGGTTATCTTTGATCTGAACCCTGCGTATGATGAAGAGTTAGATTTCACACACGGAGGCGTCGAAGCTGTTGTAAATTTCGGTTGCCAAATTTCCAAATTTCGGCCGCCGAATTTCCAAATTCCAGCCAAAAACTCAAGATGACAAAATATTCATCCGGACACGAAATCGAACTGCGTTAATTGCCACGCGATCGTGACTACATTTGTAGTGTGATTCAACGAAGAAATTGAAGAGAAACATTAAGAAACAAGCACACTACCGACCAGAATTTTTCAAGACTCATCCAAATTTTGATTCGCAAGATCATGGCCTAAAAAGACGATCCATGGCTCGAAGTTGGTATCAAATCGATCGACATGCCAAGCCCTACAAGAAAACAACCATCTTTCGATCAAACAGGCACCAAAGTAACCTCGGATCATCCACGGACGATCACGCAAGTTCTAGGGCAGTAGTAGGGATTGTTTTGAAATTTCACACATTGTTGGGCAAGGGAAAAACAATCTTTTTGCACCCAATTTTAGAATTTTTTTTAATTCAATTAAATTGTAATTATCAACAATTTAAGTAGTTTTTGGGCATACACCCATGTTTGAACCCAATTCTATATAAACATGCAAAGCCTGATTGTAAAACAAGCCCTAGTTCTTTCTACACATTGATTCAATAAAGATCTCAATTCTTGGTTAAGTTTGTGAGTGCATCTTGGAGAAAGAGGGAGAGAGGAGAGAGAAGAAAAGGGTTGATACCCTTTGGTAAGGTAATTTTCTCTCTCTTCCTCTCACACCTCTCTCTTTCTCTCTCTTCTTTTCTCTCATCTCTCTCCTCCTCTTGTCTCTCTCATTTCTCTCTTTCTCTTTTCTCTCATCTCTCTTTATCTCTCCTCTTTCTCTCTCATCTCTCTCTTTTCGTCTCCTCTTTTCTCTCTCATCTATCTTTCTCTTTTTTCTCTCATCTCTCTTTCTCTCTTATTTTTCCTCTCATCTCTCTCTTTCTCTCTCCTCATCTCTATCTCTCTCTTTCTCTCTTCCCATCTCTATCCCCCTCTTTCTCTCTCATCTCGTCTATGTCTTTCTTTCTTATTTTGTCTCTGATCTTCTTTATCCAGTTGGTTTTTTTTCTCTCTTTATCTTTTCCTCACTTTTCCTCTCTTTCCTATTCTCTCTCTCTGCTCTATTTCTCCTCCTTCTCTATTCGTGCATGGCAAAGCCGATCATTTAGCATGATCTTGTTTCGCTTCAGAGACGAACAGTGAGCCGGTCCTTAACCCGAGTGGCGGGCCGGGCCTCTGTCGAAGTCTCCTTGTCTTCTTCTTCTGACATAGACTACAGAAGCTCATCGCCGCCCATGTCTTCTCCCTCTTCTTCTTCATCTTACGCGGACGGCGAAAGCACATTGCCGCCCATCACTTCTCTCTCTTCTTCTTTGTCTGACGTGGATGGCGGAAGCACATCGCTGCCTATGTCTTCTCCCTCTTCTTCTTCTTCTGATACCGACGGTGGAGGCACATCGCCAACCATGTGTTCTCTTTCTTCTTCGCCTGACATGGACGATGAAAGCACATCGTTGTCCATGTCTTCTCTCTCTTCTTCTTCGTCTGACACGGACGGTGGAAACCCATCGCTGCCCATGTCTTCTCTCTCTTCTTCTTCGTCAGACACGGACGGCGGAAGCACATTGCCGCCCATGTCTTCTCTCTCATCTTCTTCGTCTGACATGGACGGCGGAAGCACATTACTGCCCATGTCTTTTCTCTCTTCTTCTTCGTCTGACATGGACGGCGGAAGCACGTCGCCGCCCATGTTCTCTCCCTCTTCTGATTCCCCTACCATGAGCGGCGTAGGCTAATTGCCGCTCATGTCCTTTCTCTCTTCTTACCCTCCTGTCATGGACATAGGAGGTTCTTCACCGTCCGTTTTCTTTTCTATCTTCCCTATCATCGCAGTTAAGGTTCTCTCTTCTTCCTTCTCTCTCCTTTTCTTCTTCTTCCTTTCTTCCCTTTTCTTTTCTTCTCCCTCTGTTCCTCTTCTCTTCTTCTATTCCCATGCACGACATCAGTAGTACTATGCATGTCTATCCTTCTCTCTCTCGTTTGACCAAGAGAAGCTGAGACAAACATTGCCACGGTAGTCATGTCGTCTAGCAGTATTGCTGTTGAGCCAGTCTTAGTCATTGTGCCCGCTTTATTTCCATGATAAGCTAGCCATTATGCCAGGGCGACCGATGATTGTTCTGGCGTCTAGTAGTTTTTCTGTGGAGCCGGTCTAATTACATTGCCTATCTTGCTACCACGCTGGGTCAATCACTTGTTGATCTAGTTGCTCTGATTAGTCTCGCTACCTAATAAAAAACCCTATGATCTAACTCTTTTCTCTTCTTTCATCTATTTTCTTACCCTTTCTTCTCTTGGATGTGCAAACCTTTGTACATTCACTCAAAGACAAGGTGGGGTCTCTTTTGGCCCACTTGTCTTGTAAAATTAACCATATGTGTGTGATTGTAGAAACATGAGAATACAGGCCAAGGGAGACGATTCCGAACCCGTTTTACGACTGGGGGGACTTTCTTCGTGAACTAAGAGGGCACCCACACGAGCCAGCCAGAGTAAGTCTCGAATCCACCTTCAATTCCTCTCTCATCGGTTGGTCCACCTTCAATTCCTCTCTCATCGGTTGCCCAAGAGAGCGATCTCAAGTCCCGGGTTCCCCCGAAACCTGAGACGCGTACCGCCAGATCATCCAAATCCGAAGGGCGAGATCGAGATACTTAACTAGCTTGGCGACTCCTTTGGGAACTTACTACCCCTTAGTCGGATCGTACTTGTTTGGCTAGTTTCTCCTTTTATTTTCTATATCACACTTATGGCTTTCGGGTTTTGTAACCCGTTTATCTGAATCGGGGATTTTCTCATCCCCACATTTGTGAGCGTCCCTCGGAAACAAAGTTCGAGCCTCGGGAACAAGCTCCTCGAACTTCGTTTCCAACCTTCCCTTTGAGCAAAGACTTAGTGTGTAGCTCTCAGGTCTTAACCTAGATAGGCGTGAGGAGGGACTTAAAGGTCCCTAACTCCCCATCTCCTAAGTCTGGTGGAACCTCCACCAAGGCACCTTACATCGATAGCACATCTGCTGCCACTCATAGCATGCACCCTCTCACTGGCAAGTCACTTGTCGATCGTATTGCCGAGGCACGCGGGAAGGCTGTCCAGACCCTTGCTGCAAAAGGCAAAGAATTTGCCATTACCTCAATGGGTCGTTGCAAGGCTACCCCCCACATTCCTGCACCACCACGAGTCTCTACCCTTAGAGGCTCGGCACATCGAGGCGGAGGCCCTAGGGCCTCTACCTCTCGCACACACTATAAGGCTCGTGGGTCATCCACTAGAGCCACACCTCGGGGCAACCCTTATGTTACCTCGAGTCACCGTCCAGGATCAGGCCTCCCAAGACCAAGTCCTACGCACGTTGTGCATTTGCATCCTACCACTTGGGGCAACGCTATTACTACACCAACCCAAGCATATGGGAGACGACCCCTTTGTCCTCCCATTCAGCACACACTAGTGCAGCCTATAAGGGACAGGCTTCCACTTGTTCTCTTACAAACATTTACTCGTGGTTCTCGGCCTCCTAAGGCTAGACCACCTGTTCGAGCCCGAGCTGACCCCCAAGTCACCCGTCATCCTTCTTCAAGGAATACACACGCGTCGCTGTCACAGACAGCCCCTCTCCCCCGACCTAAGTGTCCTTATGAGTCAACCTGCCTTTGCCTGCTCCTCCTTCTTTCGACAAGCACCTCCAACCTTGGTACTTGAAGACCTTCTCGAAGAGTACCATTTTGAACCAACCCCGTCATCTCGATCATGTCTTTGGAGGCCTAGAAGACCTCAAGGCAAAGACTGGATGGAAGGTCAAATCCTTCATCCTCCCCGACCTAGGATGACCCCAGT